CTTTGGTATCTCTGTCACAGCTTGATCCTTCACCAAACAGCTCCCTTATTTCTCTCTTAGCTGAATAATTAGAGGTAGAGGGATCATCCAAATTTGTCTTCTTTGGACTGTTCACTTCACCTTCCGAGTGGTAGTCCGCTTCCTGTGGGATATATAAATTAATTATATCCTCAAAGTTCAAAAATATGATATTGATTAATGTTAGAACATAATCTATATAAATTAACATCAACATGTGGAGGATTTGTTAAAACACCAAATCTGTGCACTAAAATTGGATCAGTTGTGATTCTGGAGACAGTGAAAGCTCCGTTGTACACCCTAATTGACCTTTCTTCTTTCCAACCTTGAACAGAAGGTCTTTGAACATCAAAGTCTCCAGATCCGGCGGCAAATCAGACCCGTCTTCATGCTGCCGTTATGAAATAAAAAATAAATATAATATTGGTAATATTTAAACTAAATACTCTTTAACATTAAATAAAATTAAATTTATAGTATATTATTATCCAAACCTTCAACATCTCTGTAACAACTTCTTCACATGTTTTTCCAATTAGTTCTCTTGCTACTTTGTCCCAGCAAAGAACTCGAAGTATTCCGGTATCGTCAAAAATTGTTAAGTGCAATTTGTACCTTAAGAATGTGTAAAGAGATTATAGAAAAATGTATAGTATAATAAAAGCATAAAATGATTAATTACTTATTAAGAATGTATGCATACCGAAGAATTGCAAAAGGTATTTCATCTTTGCAATAGTTGCACCAAAAATTTTCCCCTTTTGGTTTGACCTTTCTAACACATGTCGAGCAAGAGTTGAAAAACCAATTACCGTCAACTTCAAGAATTGTGCCATAAATCCAAGATACATTCGCCTGAAAAAAATTGAACAAAAGAAAAATATTATATGCTTGACATGATGTGTTACATATATTTAATAAAAAATCCAAAGTTTGTAGATGGTTACCTCTTCTAAAATTCAGCAAGACTTCTTATTGGAGCCAAACCCGACTGCAAATCATCACATACGCTTGACATGAATGATTTAACATATTCCATTGATGATTCGGTTGGGCGTTTGTGGAAGATGTACCTTAAGTAAACAATAAAAGAAAAAAATAAGATAAAATACATAAATCAAATAAATGATTTGTTTGTAATAACTATAAATTAATCACCTCTCTTTGAATTCTATAATCTCGGGTAGATCACATTGAGCAATCATCTTCGTAGCATCATAGGCGTTTGCAATTCTCACAGAGCCTAAAAAAATAGTCATTAATATTATTATAATATAAATGTACAGAAACAGATTTGAAACACTAATAATTAATTAGATATTTACCATCATTCATCGCTTTTGCTCGGCACATTTAAATGATTACAATTTTGACACTGGATGTCAAAGGATTCTTGAATGCCTCAAGTAAAACATCAACATAATCTTTCTATAAGGTGCAAAATAACTGGCAGCCTCCATATAAATCACAATAGAAAAAATAAATAAAATTAGAACAATATATACATCTTGAAAATTTATATTAGTATAGGAATAATTTAGACTTACCCAATATCTTCAAGAAGAACATCTATCTATCTCTTTTCAACACCCGCTGAAATTGCTGTTTGTACACTTTGATAATAAACAACTCGACCAATGACATCTACAATTCAATAGGCAATGATCGATTATAAAAAGTATAATACAAAAAATATAAATATATAAATTTTGAAACTATATTAAAATTACCAATAAGCCTTGAGTCAATGCATGCTGGATGGGATAAATCACCGAAATCCTTGAAATTGAACATGAATCGAGGGTAGTTTTCATGAAAAATCTCCTTAATTTCAGTGTGTTCATCAAACACCAGCTTGTAATTTTTTGGAGTAGTCTTGTACATGTTACGATCGACTTCCACCCTGAAATGCTTTATCCCATAGGTACTCCCTTCACCATTTATGCACACTTCAAAATTTGTTGCCAACCTGTCAGGTGCGGATGCATGAATGCGTTCACCCTATACAAAGAAAATTAAAATTTAAGGACTGAAGTATAAAAAAATGAAATGAAAAACCGAATATATGTGAAAAAAATATAAAAACCTTGACATCATGAAAAACAAACTCTAGGCTTGATCCTTTTTTTTT